GGGGGCGGGGCGGGGAATTGTCTGGTAATCACACAGACTCACGAGTGACCTCAGCTCAGCATTCCAGGCAGAAGGGCCAGTCCGTTCCCTGATTGTGGACCGACACTGACCTTTGTCCTTAGAGCAAATGATCCTCAGAGTATTGGCTAGCTCTTCTATTCAGAGGCAAATCCCAGCCCATTCTGTGGCCAGGGCTATTCTTTACAGCCAAAGTGCATTAACCATTCTTCTCTTCACAAAAAGAAATTGTTGGTGAAAGGAAGACACAGTTTTTGTCTCTGGTGACCTTTTTTCTGGAGGCCCTATACTCAGCAGCCTGGCTCTGACTGCCTTTGCTAAGATTACCCTGTAGTTGAGCTAGACTCCACCCTGACAGTTGCAGGGTTGGTCCTGACCTCGCTGGGCTCTGCATATCCACTGCTTTTATTCCAATAGCTGCTGCCTGTTTGTGACCTTGAGTGTCTCCATTGTCGACTGACCAGCTTTGTTTTGACTCACCGTTGGAATCCAGTTTGCCAGAGTGCAGACGAGACTGGAAGTGGACAGGCAAGAGTGGTACATGCCAACTGACAGGACAGTGGAGGTGACCATAACCGATGACTGCCCTGCTCCTCTCTTAGCCTGCTCCCCTTGTTTGGGAGATGGGGGTGGTGGCCAAGTAGTAGGAATTTGAGAAAGTGGCAGCAGAAGTCAATTTGGCATGTAATGAATGATGACGAGGCAGGCACTGTGCTAGGCCTTGTGAGGGATTGAAAAGTAAACACGGCCCTGTGCATGCTGTCCATACTGAGTCTGTAGATGTGTTAGCAGGACCTGATCTTCGAGTTTGGCAGAGGCCTGCTTCACACCCTTTTCTGAGTTCTGACGTGAGCACAGGTGCGGAGGTTTCTAAGATGACTTCCCCATGCTGGGAGAGCAGCCCAGGACTCACATGGCATCATCCTCCGCCTTGGTTTCATTAGCCAACCAGGCTAATCCTCGCAGTCCCCCTTTGTGGTCACTGAACAAGGTGGACCCCCTTTCCAGGTGCGAAAACCTTGAAGCAGAGTAGTTCAGTGACTTGCCCTGGGTCACCTGGGGTTTCGCTGTGACTAGAATTAGTTCCCACTGCTGTTCGATCACGCCCTTAACTGCTGAGCTCCGTTGATTCCTTCAACGTGCTTTTAACCAGGCCATCAGTTTTCTCTTCATCCTCCCAGTAGTTGAAATGAGATGGTCCCAAGGTGTGCACACAGCCTGCCGTCTGCATTCAGAGATGACAGTGATTTGTTCTTGCGTGCTTGGGTGTGACAGAAAAGATCAATAGGGGGACAACAGCCCCGCGTACATTGGCCAGGGCAAGAACTGCCCTTGGCTTATGTCTGCTGGCATATTTTACAGGCTTGCGTTTTTTGAGATGACTGCCTTCAGAATGGGTCCATCCCCCACCCCACCCAGTCTCCTTAATCCTAAATACCACATGACAGACTGTTTCCCAGCAGCCCTTCGCTGTGTTTTCGTGTTAGAAGCTGCATCATCAGCCCAGTCAATGCGTGAGAGAGATGGGACAGGCGCGTGTGAATCGGGGTAGCCTTTTCCTTCCCGGCCCGGCTCCGACAAGATCAATTGTCTTTTGTCACAGGCTCATTTGCTCCAATGTTTATAATAAAGACGGAAGTTATTTGGCTCCTTTTCTAGAATACGAGTTGCCATGGCACTTGACCACCCTCCTGTACCCCCACACCCCCGGCCCCCACTCCCTGAAGCGTGGCCACACCTGGAACCTCTGCGCTCAGCCCTGAGCACACGCAGACTTCCTTAAAACCCAACCAGGTCGCACTGTGTTTCACGGTAAGTACATTTGTTGATTTGGTATGTTTACTGAAGGCTGCGCTTTCGCTGTTCTTATTTTTCGGTTTATTATAAAACTTTAAAACAATAAGAAAAAACTTTTCATTGAAACTGATCACTTTGAGAACTGTGAGGAAAAGTGCTGGACGTCAAGGGCTGTAGTAGGACTTGATCAAAATGTATTGTGTTTAACATTTCGGGAAGAAAGGGAAACATCTATTTTAAGAAGTGTTTAAAATAGAGAATGAGTGAGAGATTGAGAGAAAATAGACATTTTCCCCCAGTTAGGGCTGCTTTCCTAAGTGAACCTTTTTCGGCTGTTCATAGAAATGAAAGTATTGTTTTAACTGAAAGGAAAACCAGATTAAATAAGCCATTAGGCAGAGAATTTAAAAACCTTTGTTTTTATTAAAAATCAGTGCAGACTTTTTAATATAATTACTTCTAGTATTATCACTCATTTCCCTTTCTCTTTAATGAAGTGAAATGGCCCAAAACAAACACATTTTTCTCCTTCCCTCCATCTTTCCTCTTTGTTTTATGGGTGAGACCAGCTTTTCGACTCTGTAGTTCCAACTCCTGACACCATCCCTCTCAAATTATGCAGCCGTTATTTCTCTCGAGGTGCTGTTACTCCGAAGTTCATGTCAAATTTCTTAATTATTTTAGCAAGCTGTCCCTTCCTCAAGCTTCCTATGGAGGTGGAGGGGACGTGCCCGAGTCACTGTTGAACTTCAGTAGGAGCGGGGCTCATGCCACAGGCAGTGACTCCTTGGAAGGCGGTGGGTGATCGCCAGTGACCTAAGGGCTTTAGGAATTTAACAAAACTCGAAGAAAGAGGTCCCTAGCTGTCATGTGTATGTGAGAGACACGTCACTCCAGTTTAAACTGAAAGCACCCGAGGAGACCAGATCAATTTTAGGGCCAGGTAGACTGCAAGCTCCTTGAGGGTGGAGCTGTGTTTTGTTTTGTTTGGCCTTTTCTTTCTCATGCCTGAAGTCTGG